TTTTTGCAAAAAAAAAAATATTTGCGCAAGGGATGGCTGGCTGGCTGGATGGATGTAATCATTCAAAAAAGTTTTTTTTTTTTTTTTTTTATTTAGTTTGGTTATCATTCTATATGTGACGCTGTAAACATCACTTGTATACTGTTTCTCATATACGATACAATCGATGTTTTTATTATTTATTCTCACCATCGATGCCGGCATTTTTTTTTCGTTTGTTTTTTTTTCGTTTTTTTTTTGGTTCACTGCGTGCTGGTATGTAGTGTGTGGTATGGGGCAGGGCCAGTGGTCGTTTGGTTGGTTGGTTGGTTGAATTTAAATGTCCACTTTGGAAAGCCGGTGAATGGATGAATAAATCGTGAATGACAGATGATGATGATGATGATAAGATTGGCAAAGCAAAAAAAAAAGCGAAACTGATATGGACGTCAGCCGAAAAGTTTTTTTTTCTTCATTTTCGAATGTTTTACCTGGATTCCTGGTTTTCTTTTCCGAGAAAATTTCTTTGAAACAAAAAAAAAATTGGAAATTTGAGAATTAAGGCGCGCAAAATTTTTGGTCTTTATATACGACTGCGTTTAAAACGATAATCAGCAGCAGCAGCAGAAAAACGCCATTGCGAATGATGATTATTTTATTTTGTTTTGTTTTTTTTGGATTTGATGACGCCGTGGCGTTTTGTATTTTGCTTTCCTTCCCTCCTCACTATGTCTATGATATATCCAAACATTCCCCCCCTTCTGTCTATGTGGAATTTTTCTGTCTTTGGTCATGGAAACCAGAATCATAAAAAAATTGTTGTTGTTGTTGTTGTTTGTGCAATTTTTTTCTGTTAATAAGAGGGGGGAAGGAAACAAACAATCAAGGGAAAAGCAATCGGTGTTTTTTTTTTAATATATATTCAACCAATGTTAAACAAAATTCATAAAACTATATAGAAATTCAATATGATAATCTTGTTTTATGGTAGTGGTATACATTAATGATATATCATCTGTATGCAAAAAAAAAAAATGATAAGCATGCGCAGAAAAAAGCCGGCATATTGTATTGCAACACACAATATGCCGGCTTATGAATGTTAGAAGTTGGCGGTGGCGGCGGCGACGACGTCGATGATGATTTTCCATTTTTTTCCATTTTGTTAAAGAACTGCGTTTCAGATGTTGCTGAGTTTTTTTTTTTTTTGGTTGTTTGGTTGTTTCGCGCTTTACTAAATTCATCATCATTATCCAGTCATCATCATCATCATCATCATTTTGCATCTTGATTGCAATGAAAATTTATTTTATTTTTTGTTTTATAAAACTAATAATAAGTTGGTAAATCATCATCATCATCATTGATTTAATTGCATAATATTTCATCATTTTTTTGTTGTTGCTGAGAATCTTTCTTTTTTTTTTGAATTTGACAAAAATACCCGGGTCTATTTTTTTGTGTTATAAACTAAACACTAAATCAATTTGCAATACGATTGTCAAATTGTTTGTTTGTTTGTATTGGTATGATATTATCATTATCATCACCATTATCATCATTACGACGATCATCATCAATGATTACCATTCATAATCAGGTATGGTTATTTATTTTAGTATAAATTTTGTTAGTTTTTTTTTTCATTTGTTGAGAATACATGTAGCAATGCTAAAAAAGAATAGATAGTTGTAGTCGTCGTTGTCTGAAACGATGATGATTTCTCTAATTTGAATCCAACATTGTGATAAAATATGCCATATGTTTTTATCAAATTTTTTTTTGTGTGTGTTATCTTCTTCTTTATCCAAAATCATTTTATTTGAATTGTGATAACATAATCAAAAAAAAAAGAAAAGAAGTAAAAAAACGAAATCAATTGGGCCAATTTTTTTCATCGAAATTCACAATTTTTTCGATAAGATAAATCGAATGTTTTTTCGAATGTTCGAATCTTTTTTTTTCCAATTCGAATTCGAATGTTATGCGGCATTCGAATTTTCGAATGTTTGCAATCGAACGAAACGCCTATTTTGTACTTGTGTGTATGTGTGTGACATGGTTAATGATTGTCATTTTAATTTTGATAAAATTGATTTAATTAATTGATTAATTGCGGTCAAATTAGTAAAATTCAATGATCTTAATGTTAATTTAGTTTATAATTGAATTGAAAAAAGAAATTTAAAGGCGCAAAAGGTGCGGTATACAAAATAACATCATCATCAACAACAGCAGCAGCAGCTGCATTGCCTGCCTGTAGAGTGTACCGATAGAATATTACAATTTAAATGAATTGAATTGAATTGGCCCACTACCACACATTGCCCAAAAAAAAAGAAGCTTTGTTTTGTTTGTTTGTTTGTTGTTATTGCAAAATCTTACAACTGCTGATTTTTTTGTTCCACCGAAATAATGATGATGATGAGTTGGAGTTTGAATGCTTGAAATTCACATAACACACCAAATAACATTTACACAATTCTTTTTCGTTTTTTCCATATATTTTTTCGAAAATAAAGGCGCAGGTTGTAATGTAATACAAGAAGATCTTATTAATAAAAAAATTTGGTGAAGCTTTTTTTTACATGTAAATGAGTAGGACGAAATGTCAGAAAAAAATGCATGTAAATGAGTAGGACGAAATGTCGGTCCCTGAAATTCCGCTGAAAAAAATGTCTGCAGAAAAAGTCAATGTGCGCACCGATCTGCGCAACACGAAATGGCCGCGGTCACATTAGATCAGACCATACCCAAAAGAACAAAACTTCAGCCAAAGATTTGGGCGATGGGCGGCGTAGCCGCTCATCTGCCAGAATCTACGGGCTGAAGCAAGTGTGCGTGCTGCTGGCCGAAGGCCGGCAACACACACTTGTATATTAGTAAATTTTTTATTACGCATGTCTATTAATTTAAATGTTTTGATAAGAATTTATTATATATGAGTGAATAACGATAGTAGTGGTCTTTAGATGAATTGAATAGATTTTATATTTAAAAAAAAAAATATTCGTAGTAGTAGTTATAAAGTTTGAAAGAATTTCAACAAAAAAAAAATTGGCTGCATGAATCTAAAGAAGAAGAAGAAAGTGTGGTGGTTGTATTATAATCGCACCAGCAACATACACATTGCTTCCCCGTTCCATCGATGATGATGATTGTAAAGCAATAAATGCATGCAGTGTGTTTGAATTGTGTGATAAGGAAAGAAAAAAACTGCCGCCGCGGCCATAGCCATCGTCTCGAGGTATTTATATTCCACTTGATATACGAAAATTTTTGATTTTCGCTCAAACATTTCTCATCGACGTTTCATGTTGGTTGTTCGCAACAGCAATTTTTTTTTGCTTTGATTTTGATTCTTTCGTCTCTCTCTCTGTTGCGCACATTCGAAAAAAAAAAATTCCAATTTCGATTTTCGTTTGATTTTCTTGTTTTCGAATTTTCGCTCCATTTTGGACATTGTCATATTTGAAGAAATTTTTTTTTAAATCAAGAAAAAAAAAGAAATTTGAATGTAGAAATTGATATTCGAATTCTACCTAAATTTTTTCTTTGGTTGGATTCAAAGAAATATGGTTGGCGCCAAAAAAAAATTATTGTTTGCCGGCTACCTGAAATTTTAATATAAAAATTAACATCGATGACAATTTTTTCAAATTTGATTTTTTTTTGATTTGATTTGATCTCTTCGATTATCTAATTTTTTAATTTTTTTTTATCATTTTCATCACTTTGTGTGTGTGTGTGTGTGTGTCATTTCATTTTCATTATTTGGCGAACCAAAATCATCATTTTAGACATTTCGAAAAATGCCTGTCAAAATAAACTATAATAATAATTCCAGTAATTGGTATTGTTCAATAAATAATTCAAATTCAACAACAACATCACCATCAACCAATTCATCATCATCATCATCATCAGAGACAGCAACATTAACATCAACATTTGATAGTATGTTTTTTAATGAAGATTTTAGTGTTGATCCGGCCGATATCGATGTAACGGATATAAATTCATTTTGTTTTGATGAAATATGGAGTAATTTTATACCAACACCACCACAATCACCACCATTTATATTGGATTGTTGTGAAGATATACTTAATGATGTTAATGATATTGATGATGGTGAAAAGATGTGTGATATTGATGATGGTGGTGAAGAAGAAATTGCCCAAAATGTGATTGCACATGATTGTATGTGGTCCGGACAATGTAGTGAACATCAATGTAAATCATCAACATATAATCATGGTGTTGGTGTTGGTATTCGAAATGGAATTAATAGTAAATCAATGGCAACAATATTTAGGCCTGGAACACCATTCAATTTATCAACATCACCACAAAGCGCATTCAATTATATTCAATCTTGTGATTTGAATATGAATGAAAATTATTCAATTGAAGATGATAGTAATCAACAACAACAAGATCAACAACAATCCATAACAGTAACAACAAATAGTAATGTTTATGCAATGGCCAATGATCATTCTTATGGTGGATCACAACAACAACAACAAAAAATGATGTCTGATAGTAATGAAAAAAGTTTAATACATAAAGATACGAAAAGTAAGTGTTATTAGCGAATTTTGTTATTTTTGATTGATTTTATTTTTACTAATTGATTCGATTCGAACATTGATTTTAATTCAATTTAGGTATATATAGAAAATCAATGGAAAATAAATCGATTGGTCAACAACCAAGAATGTCAAAAATGCGATGTAAAAAATTGGCAAATAGTAATAGTAATACGAATCGTAAACAATTACAACAACAACAGCAGCAATCATCAAGTAGTTTATTGAATAATAATAATAACGTATCTTTATCACCATCATCATTATCATCTACAACAACATTGAATGGTATAAAAAAAGAAATTACTGATCAGAATAGTGTTGTAAAATCGACAATAGTATCAGTATCATCATCAACATCGAATGGTATGAAAAATTTTCAATCAATTAAAAGAAAAAATCCAAATACTATCGTTCATCAACAACAACAACAATCATCATCATCAATGATTTCGACATCATCATCAAATTTATCACGTGTAATACATGTGAAAAATATGGCCGCATCGATTGCCATGAATCATATTTCGAATTTACAATTAAATAGTCCGGCTTGTTCTGATTCCGAAGAAAGTAGTCTATCATTTTTGTCTGGTGATGGTTGTGAACAAAAATTAAATGGCTGTTCATCATCATTATCATCACCACCACCGGTAAAACGACGTGAACATAATGATTCTGAACGTAAACGTCGTGATCATTTAAGAAATTCATTTAATAATTTACGAGATCAGATACCAAAATTGAAAACATCACAGAAAAGGCCACCAAGAATAATGATTTTACATGAAGCAACAAATCATGTACAAGATTTGATCAATGAAAATGAACAATTAGAACATGAACATCGTATGGAAATTGAAAAACGTAATCGTTTAATGGAAATATTGCGAAAATGTAATGAAAATTCACATTAATAACAAATAAATAATCATCATTTGAAGATTTATTATTAATATTAATAATATTTAGACCAATACCAATAGATCCACACACACACACAAGCATTACACATCATATAAATTTTAAATTTATTCGTTATTCTCGTTATCATCAAAAATATTTTTTTTTTCTATTAATTAATTAATACATTTCAAACAACACTAATCATATAATAATAATAATATCATTTATGAATGAAATGAAATGAATTTTAAAAATACACTTTAAAACACACACATACACAGAATATAGAGCATATATAATATATCAATTTTAGTAAAAAGGTGAAAGAAGTATTTTGATTGATAAAAAAAATTACAATTACAAACACACATTACAATTACAAAATATATAATAATTAGGATTTTCTAATTCATATTTTTTTTTCATTTTCATCATCACTTTTTTTTTCACTTTGTAAATGTAATGAATATTTTTTTTTTAATTTCGTCTCACTTTTTTTTTGTTTATTTTTTATTTTTCAATTCATACAACAACAAAACAATAATTTACGAATACCAAACATTACAACATTTTTTTTCTTCTTTTCTTTATATTCAAAAACACACATTATATGATATATCTTTCTATTAAAAAAAATATATATTGTTAAAAAATAACCCATTATTATCATTATCAGGATTAATTTTGAAACGTTGGTGGGTGGTGGTGGTGGTAGCTGTGTGGTGTTTAGTGCTTTGTTTTTTTTCGAAATGAATATTATTATTAAAAAAACGTATTTTGTAAACTTTTTGTTTCCGTTTTTTGTCTCTGCTTTGCTTATTATGAATATTACGAAAAATACATTCACACATTGTTTTATCATTATTAACACCATTGCCTCCGCCACCATTATCGCATCGGATAATAAACACAAACACACACATTACATCAACAAAATCAAAAAGCATTTTGTCTTCTTTGTTTGAATCGATTAATTTTGTTTCTATACCAGAATGTGTCCACCTGTCATCAGATTCAGATTTTTTTTTTAAATTTTATTTTGCCCCTTTCTGTCTAAACATTATCTAAACATTTTTTTTTTCGGGGAAAAAGATAACAACAATTTGTAAATCCTGATGATTTTTTTTCCCATTTTTTTTCTGTTTGAATTTATGTTTTCAATTAAAACACACACACACACACATATATTACATTACGAAACATCTAAATCAAATTAATCAGATTAACCACTCTAAACACTCTTCTTCTTTTTCTCTCATTTTTGAAAACGTATTTTGTGCCTTTATTTTTTCTTTGTTCTGGTTCAGGTTTTTTTTTTGTTAATTTCTTCTTTTTTTTTTTAACACACACTTAACACATAGAATTTGGTTTTCCTTCCCCCAAATTGGCTACACATCATCATTTAATAAAACTGAATTTCCCTGAATCACATTATATTTTTTTCATTCATAAAACGTAAAAAACGTAAAATATATTTTTCCTTTTCTCTCATTTTTTTTGTGTGTGCGGTATATTATCATTATCATAATAAAAATATTATATGTTTTTTCAATCAAAATAAATAACCTTAATTGTAACAATTTCATATTTTGGAAATAAAATTAAAAAAAAAAATTCTCATAAAAAATATGTCTTCTTTTCTTTTACCCTTTTTTTCGCCATCAAATATTTGATGAAATTCTAGCTCGGTCAAACATCAAACAGTCATCATTTTTTCTGAATGAGAAAAAATTTCCGTTGCATTTTTTTTTCTCAAAAAAAAACTTCTTGTCCCTTTCCACTACCAAGAAATTGAACAAGGACATTCTTTTGCTTTTTTTGCAGCTCCGAAAATGGTTAATTAATGACAGAGCACACTAATCAGCCAAAAAAAAACGAAATAAAAACGTAAAACGAACCAAACCAAACAAACAGAGAAAAATGGTCAAAGAAAAAGTGTTTGTTTGTTTCCTTAATGAAAATTATATGCAAAAAAAAATATAATTGAAAACAAGAGGGAACTTTGTAAAAAGCAAAACAAAAAATTCGTCATATTTGTCCAAGGTCACTGTACACAGTGCACAAGGTACTTCGATGATCATAATTAAAACCAAATGGCTGAACCAAGTTTTTTTCCTTTTCTGTTGTTGTTTGTTGTAAAATTCCAAATATATCACCCACTGATTTGACTTGACCAACCGACCGACCGACCGATCGACTTTGGTTCCATTTTTCATTCATTTTTATTTTCATTTTCATTTCCGAATAAAGAAAACAAACAAACGAAAAACGTAAATAAAACGTTTAAAGTTTACGTTTTTCGTTTGTTTGTTTGATCATCAATAAACTGTCAATCGAATCATATGATCAACAGATCAGATCATTAATATTCCAAAAAAAAATCGAGGTCATATGTCAACAAGTGATGATGTTTTGACAGGTTTCGGGTTTTTTGTTTGGTTGGTTTTTGTTTGGTTATTTGGTTGGCAAGTTTCAACAAGTGTTAAATTGGAACAAAAAAACGAAAACCTCTTTTTTTTTGTTTAACCCAAATTCAAATCGGAGGGGGAGGAAAAATTCCAATCAATCTTATCATCATCTTCTTTGTTCAGCCTTGAATTTTTCAAACGAATTTTTAAAATTTTTTGTTGTAAAAATTCCATGGAAAAAAATTCCAATTTAAAATGATGAAAATCCAATAGAGAGAGAGAGAGAGAGAGAGAGAGAGAGAGAGAGAGAGAGAAAGTGA